ACTCCCAGTGCAGGCAAGAGGAATAGTAGGCTCCAGGAAAAGCTCTGGCTAACCGACGCAAAGCTAATTGGCTAAATTCCGCAACGAACTAAATCAGATGACAACAAAATGCGAAGGATTTTAGATCACAACATCCCTCCGCCCGCAAAGGATACGGTAGAATGCGTTTCCATACAATAATATGTGGGTGATGTGTTGTCGAGTGGCGACCGCGAACTGGAAGACATAGCGTGGGTAAGCATCTCACAAGATGGATCGACGACCTAATGAGGTTCGCGGGGATCCGCTGGATGCAGGCAGCACAGGACCGGTTTTTGTGGCGAGGCTTGGGGGAGCCTATGTCCAGCAGTGGACGTCTGTGGGCTGATAAGTAGAAGAAGATATGTTGTAAGTTTTCTATACTTGTCCCAAGCAACGCCACACGTTATGAAGTCGAGTTATCTTGTTAAATTTTGATAATATAAGATGTCCGATTCTCTATTATGATCTGGCGGTTGTACCCTGAATTGTCAATGAGCAGAACTTTCCAATCGACGATTTTATAACAATAATTGGGACGTTCCCATCGTCGTTCTTAAGAAAAAAATGTGTGAAGTTCAGACCGAATTTGTTGTTGTTTTATTTAGTGGCTATTTCGTGATGCATAATAGACATAATGATACACATGTGGAAGTTCCGTTAAGACCCCAAAATATTATATTATTTGTTGGGACAGTGCAATTGATTCTCGACATATAGAGAGAAAAAATACGTCCTTATTTATAGTTACAGTGGAATCTCGATGTATTGAATTCAATAGAAATAAAAAATGTAAAGTTAATATTTCAACATAACAATTCAAGACAAGACGTAATTACTAAGTATATTTTTCGAGTTATATTATGATAATGAATAAAAATTCGATTAACGATTCTGTGAAGTAAATTATACAAATTACTCCGAAAATCTATTGTCTTCTTTTGATTGAAGAAACTTGCAGACTTCTATTAACAATTACTTCTTCACGACCAAATAATACAGCGAATATACATGATGCTTCATTTCATTACATGTTTCAATATAGGTTCGTAAAGTAACTGCTGTTCAGGCTTGTTTATTGGGTATCTATTGTTAAATATTTGCTGGATCAGCATCATCAACGTTATTATGATTATCCCTATCAGCTTCAGTTAGTATTTTAGTGGACAAACTGTACACAGTGGAGCAAAAACACCAAACATTCCATTTACTTTTTAATGCTCTTAGTTATAATTTCTACCAAGACCAAGACCAATACGTCACAATGTATCTCTAAATTCGACATACGGCGTCTATTCCAAATACCATTTCGAGTATAAATGTGTACAATCAATACCTCTCCGGGGCATGACAATAAGTTCAATAAACAAAGTACAGTTAATTACAGATATCGCAAATTTAGAGGATCATCCTAACAGTCCCCAATAGCGCATAGTATATGTGTGATCTGCAAATATATGATATAATGTTTAATAATACTGCTTGTGTCACTTTTAACAAATTGTCATGACGAAACTCAAATTAAAATCACTTTATAGATATAACAAAGTATGAATGCAGGTGTTCAGGAAATGAATTACTAATTATTTACGTATCTTTCAATGCGGATATGCAAAAAAGGTGCGATACCATCGACGGCAGCACTGTGGTTCAAATAAGAATTACACGTGTTCACGAAGAGACATATTACTAATGTATTTCGTCGTATTAAGAACTCCTTAGACGTTTCGTACCACATAGATCGTGTAATTTATTTACGTTACATTTTTTAGTGGTTTTGTTATCATTTCTCACCACTTTTACTGGTGGTAGGACCTCTTGGGAGTCCGCACAGGTAGGTACCACCACCCCGCCTATTTCTGCCGTGAAGCAGTAATGCGTTTCGGTTTGAAGGGTGGGGCAGCCGTTGTAACTATACTGAGACCTTAGAACTTATATCTCAAGGTTGGTGGCGCATTTACGTTGTAGATGTCTATGGGCTCCACTTAACACCAGGTGGGCTGTGAGCTCGTCCACCCAACTAAGCAATAAAAAAAATAAAAATAAAATCGTGGCCTAATGGATCAGACGGCCGGTGTAGTTGCATCTATCGATGCGACTATACCAGTCTTCGAATACCGCACGCAGGTACCAATATTTTTTATGGAATATGTACATAGCTCATATGTTCACAAATTACTTGTGCGATGAATGGATAACATCGTTTCATAAAAATCAAATTCACAAAAAATATAATTAGCGCAATTCCTATACGATCGAGACAAACTCCTCAAGTCTCAAGTGGGTGGCTGCATTCACGTTATGATATCTATGTGTTTCGGTCAACAATTAACACTAGATGGACCCGTGAGCTTATTCACCTATCTACGCCATAAATAAGTTTCAAAGAGGACATAGATAATTTTTTTATTTTTATTCCTAGATGGGTGGACGAGCTCACAGCCCACCTGGTGTTAAGTGGTTACTGGAGCCCATAGACATCTACGACGTAAATGCGCCACCCACCTTGAGATATAAGTTCTAAGGTCTCAAGTATAGTTACAACGGCTGCCCCACCCTTCAAACCGAAACGCATTACTGCTTCACGGCAGAAATAGGCAGGGCGGTCGTACCTACCCGCGCGGACTCACAAGAGGTCCTACCACCAGTAAAAACACCAGTAATAAAGGCGTAAGCATACTTTTGATAATCGTAATATCCATCCCTTTGCCTTTTTATATCTATGACAAGCCAGAAATCATTCAAGCAAATAGTTAGGTAGGGAAATCGTGAGAATAATATTTATGCTGGGAAAGTAGGAGGGGTCGCTCGAGCTTTTTGCATTTAACTTCTGATAAACAAACGCACAAATGTTCATGTATATAGCCTTAATATTTTTATGCAATCATTCTCAAATATCCATAATATGCCAAAAACTTTTTGTAACTTATACATATTTGAGATACTAGTTTTAGATATGTTCGTTTTCACCTTTGAAAATAACTATTGATCTAAATTATAAACGGGCCACTAACAAACAAAACTTAACGCAAAAATTATCTGATTACAAACAAATCAAGCCTCAAATGAACCAAATTTGAGAACTATTGGAGGTTAAATGGTTCTATGATTCCATTGTGTGTGAACCCATAATACATATACATCACAATGTTTATGCATTATGTGTTTGGGTCGAGCTCACGGCCCACAAGACCTCATTGGCATCACAACGAGAATGCTGCCCACTCCTAACCATACATCAAAGTCCCAATTGTAGTTTACAACAGCTTCCCAGCCCTTAACCCTTATCGTGTCAAGATTGGTTTTTTGAAGAAAAGCAAAAAAAATCCGTATAGGTAGTAGCTTCTTCATAAATAAAAAAATCGTGATATGAAAATTTTGGAAAAACAAGATGAATAAATTCTATACATTGCTACACGAACTAGAAACCACGACACTTTCGGGGCATACATAAAAACGATATCACTTCGCACTACCACATTTATTTCGTAACTAAAAAGTAGACCTACCAACCTCCAATGCTTTTATAAATAACATTACTTAAAGCTATAAATCACTAACAGCTAATAATGTTACGAACGTAATTTCAAAACTCAAATACGATTTGAGTCTATTAGCAAAACTAGCCACGCATCCTATACTAATGGGAACCTTTACTTGATTGCACGCTAACTTAGATAAATAGATCGTGCTCTAGATAACGCGGCCATACTTGAGGTATGTTAACCTTTGGGACATTTTCATCGTAAAAGAGTATATTGTGCGTGAAACGGGTTTTGTTGAAAATTTCTTTCGCTTTTGTTTCAATTCTCCTCGAGCGGGTACTACGAAATTATAGTTTATTAATTATTTAATTGTCATCGGTGGCACAAGACAAGAACATTGTCACTATCGGTTACAAACACTTTTATGCAATAAATTTTAGACATACTTTACAGCACAATTACTTAAACATTATTTTATACAAACATAATTACCTAAAAATATTTGTTTATGAAATTTATCAGAACGTAATTTTGACCAAAAATATACGTGTTTTTTTGTGAATTAAGATAGTGGCGGTAGCCATTACAATACACAAGATATTTGACAAATGTCTAAATCTCACTAACGAAAATTTCAAAATAAGCTTACATATAAAAAAGCGGTGGAATATCTTCACACAAATAAAAAGCATTCAAAAGTATTCCCTTACATATTTAATAAATATCCCGAAAATACAGCATTTATTACACTCACTTTACGTTTTTAATATGTTTAAAATATAAACATAGAAACATTGGAATTTAAATGTACCTACTTGTAAATTAGAATATATATATTTTTTTTTACCGGACTAAATGTTTTGCATTCGAGTAGATCTTTACAGGCACTTTCGCCCGGACTTAACAACAACTTCGAAATGCGCAAAATTGCAGCCAAGAAAAATCAGCATGACACATAACGCTTAGTGTTATCCAACAAAACGTAGAAAACATATATAATATTTTAATTTAGTCGATATTAAAAGCTAGCTATCTTATATGAGTAATACATTCTTAGATACATATACATATATCGGTTCGATATATTCTGTTCAGACTGTCACAGAAGCACATTTCATTGACACGTGACATTATTTAACAATTTTTGACAAATATTTCGCTAGATTACAAAATCGTCAAAAGGCAATTACGAAACAAACAGAAACAATTACGGTACCTTACGAAGTACGAAAAGAATTTACTTTTGAAGTAAAAATAAATAAATTAAACCAAGTAATTAGTTTCAATCAAAACGGAGCCGAGGAGAACGGGCCGAGATAAGATTGCGAACGTGTAACAAGATTTTACGACGACCATCTCAATCAGAGCGCGAGAAGCAATTTGCCACAATTGAAAACAAATAAAGAACGTCGCCATTACGATTCACCACGCTTCCGAACAACGGCAATATTTAATCGGCACTGCTCAACGAGAAACGCAGCTGTGACAATAACTTACCATTTCTGGATATGACTCGCCGCAGCATGTGACCGAAACGTCTAGCCCCCATGCACATCCTCTGCTCCCGCATAACATGGTCCGCGCGATCACTATCGCTTGCTGTATCATCATCAGTGTCATCAACTGACACGAGAGATTCACGCTTCGTTTTGTCATCACTTAAACTTAAGGTAGGCTCACTGACACCAAGACTTTTCGACTCGGAAGCCCAACTGTCCAGTTTTTGGACATCGTTAAATAGATCATCTAGATTAGTCTCTAATAAACCTTTGGCACTGCATATCACTTTACTTTTGGTATCATCACGCGTGACGATCGCGTCGACGCTACTAGAAAGGCACTTTTCTCGTTGCACACTCTTTACATCGCCTCCATCCATCTCTCGATGTGTCACACTAATGTTATCACGGGTTTTCGTACGTTGCTTTATTCTTAGAGAATTCTGCGACGCTATTTTTAGTTTATCCATAGGTTTTACACTTTTCGCTGTGGACGAGGTCAAGTCTCTTGGCACTATTTGATTTGTGTGATGGGTCGCACGGAACACGTTCGAGAGAACCAACATTTTCAACGTTTTCAGCGCACTCACACTTGTCAAATACTCCATCACTGCATTCCTTTTTCATTTCAAGATTTTCGTGACGTCCGTCTGTATCAGAAATTCAAAAGGTGTTTTTGTGTTTGTAAAATATTCGCCGGGACCGAAATGCCTGTTGCGATACAATAATATACCTACGCTAATAATATATTTTTTTATGGAAAACTAAACATTATTCAAGCGTACAGAATATTCTGGACCGGGTCGGGGTTTAAGCGGTATTTCTCTCGGACGTTATCAACGCCGGACAACATGGCACGTCTGAATAAATAAAAATTCAACGGGGAAGTGATCCGCGTCGCTGAACCGGTTTTTTGCTCATAGTTCGTTTACAGCAACGTAAATAATGCATTAAAACTTTATAAAAGATTTTAAACTGGACGTGAGAGCTTCACTCTCGCCGGCGCGGCGTCGGGTTTCGCTTTATGAGATACGTTTTGGAATCGCATGTCACCTAGGAACAAAGCCACGTCTCGGGCGCGAACGTGTTAACATTTCAGCCACGTTTACGTTATCAACTAGAGCGGATTTGGCTCCTGTCCCGAATCATATTTAATCTGCTCTACGCAATTCTCATACCAGTATTCCGACCAAGCAACGAAAGTTAGAGAATAGATTACTAAATATTCATATATGTTCAATGAATGAATCAAGCAATGTAGTAATAAGCTGTTTGAATCAAAACATTAAATGACAGGTCTAATTGAATCCACTCTCTATAACGTAGTTTTCAAATTGTAATATACCTCAAAAGGATCATACGGATAGTTCCATCTTCAGAGAGTGTGAAATAACCTCGACTGAAATCGACTTAGCATAAACAGCTCTCTAGGGCGTGTGTGTCCGGCAGAGTTCACTCAACAAGCTCGTTATATGTAGGCTAGTTTCGGTATTACGGGGATCCAACACTTTAGTATAAATATTTTATAAATTCATTTTAATTTCAATTGGGTTGGCGATTCGTGTGATATAAACGCTTTCAGTGTCTTGGGAATTAAGTTTAAGTGAAGTAAAATTTTACATTTGCTTTTCAACATCAGAATAGATATGTCTGTGACAGCGGTAATAACAATTTTAAGGTCAAAGGACAAAGTATTGTTTTTGAAATTTAATAGCGTGGTATGGACATGTGATGCGTAGAGAGAAGATGCATGTGACTAGCAGATGTATGGAAATTGTAGCGCAAGGTAGAGGGGGTAGAGGTCGATCGATGAAGACATGGATAGAGTGTGTGAATAACGATATGAGAGAGAGAGAGGAGTGTTGAGTTGACGGCTGATAGAAGATAATGCAAGGTAGAAGGCGTAGAGGTCGACCGATGAAGACATGGGTATAGTATGTGAATAACGATATGAGAGAGAGAAAGGAATGAGTATTGAGCTGACGGCTGATAGAAGAGAATGGAAGAGAAAAATTAGCAATGCCGACCCCATCTAGTGGGATAAGGTGAAGAAAAAGAAGAAGAAGAATTCTAATAAGCATATCGTTAATGTGAAAACATTAAAACACTTTATGAAGACGCCAGTTTCGAACTATAACACTCTGAAAGATAGTTCGTTTTACACATCGTGTGGATAACAAAAGGCCAACCGCAGATATAGATACTGTTTCAGAGCTCGTGTTTTTTTTTTCATATTTCATCAGGAATCCACATATTTGTGCTGTAGTTACTGGTGTAGATATTTGGTGTAACGTTATGGTTCAACAATATTATTATTATAACGAACATGAACGTCCATAAACACACGTTTTGTAGTTTCACCACAACCGTAAAAGTATATTACGTGTTTATGAAGTGCAGAATAAATTTTTAAAAAGAAAAATTAAGAGCCCGTATGTAATATCAAATTTCCTGCTCCATTCCAGTCACGGGTTTTTATTCATTAACTAATGCATTTTATAGGATTTATAGGTTTATATATAATAATAGACATATATGTAGGTATCGGTTTTATAGTTTACATTGTTTTATCTTTACGTTATCTAACAGCCTTAACAAAAAGTCTATTTAAACCCTCTAATTTTTTTTTTTAACTGTTGACGTCGGCTTGGCTGTGCTCCTTGGATTACTGACATTCATGGCGACGGTAACCACTCACCATCAGGTGGGTCGCACCATTGCAATGCACTGTCAATAAAAAAAGTCTAGTTCCCATCAATTGAATAACCACGTGACTAGTTTCAAGCCCCAAGCTCCCGAACTAAGCGTGTTTCATTTTAATAAAGCAAGGAACTCGTAGTGGAACAACTGTTCACAACAATTACATTTCGTCACACAATTTTCCCTCACAAAAAATTATATAGCGTAGACTTCATTAAGTTTCGTTCAACTATAACTGTTGTAGTTAGTGTCAGTCACGCCATTAATCTACATTTAAGCTTCAACTTTTCAAATTGTATTTGGTTCTTCTAATCTTGTATCTACATTTAAATAGGCAAAGTCGAAGTAGTTTAGCACAATCATCTCGTCTTTCAACAGATTTTATTTTTTGATTTTTTATTATTATCAATCGATTAGCTTTACAGCTGTTAGAAATAAAAATCAAGCCCGCCAAATTATAATTTGCGTAATTACTGGTGGTAGGACCTCTTGTGAGTCCGCAGGGGTAGGTACCACCAAACCGCCTATTTCTGCCGTGAAGCAGGATTGCGTTTCGACTTGAAGGGTGGGGCAGCCGTTGTAACTATACTAAGACTTTAGAACTTATATCTCAAGTTGGGTGGCACATTTACGTTGTAGATGTCTATGGGCTCCAGTAAGCAATAAAAAAATGCAATAAAAATAATAATCAGATAGAGAATTATGATTTGGAAGTATCAATTATATCGTACAAATCGTTTTTGGGGCGGAAATATTTCCCTATCAACCAGCACTCGACATATTTGTGTACTCGTTTTCAGTGCAATTCCATGTAACTATAATACCGGTGACTACGTTTACACGGGAGACATTTTATAACGGCACCACGTACAGGTCATTCAGGTGCTGTTCAGCGGATTTCTTTTGCTCGACGGGTGATTTATTATGCTTAAGTGTAGCAACGTTACTAAGCGGATTTTTTTTAACGAATACTAACAACTTCTACGGCGACTTTGTAAACTGCCGGTCGTTGAAAATAATTTTGAACGGCTCAAAGAAGAAAAAAAAATACAAACTCTTTTTGCTATTAGCGCTTATAAGCATGAGTTGTGACTATTATTTTTATCCTGTATTTCAATAATCGTTGATGGGTTTTTTTATTGCTTTTGTAGGCAGACGAGCATACGGTATTGGTAAGTAGGTCGGCGTCGCTCAGGGACATCTGCAATGCCAGGGACACAGTCAAGCTACTGTCTACCCCTGAGAACTCTGCAAAAATCCTATGCGTTGTGTATTAATTCCTCATTGAATTATTATTTTTATTGCCTTTGTAGGCAGACGAGCATACGGCCCACCTGATGGTGTGTAGTTACCGTCGCCCATGGACTTCAGCAATGCCAGGGCCAGAGCCAAGCCGCTGCCTACCGTTAAAACGTATGCCGGGAAACTATTATGTAGTAGGTACATTAAGATTCAATTTGAACTAGTTAAAAGTAGTCGCGTGGGAATTTTTAAATACGTTTATCTGTGTTTTTTTTACGAGCTTCACCCAGCCTGTAAGTAGATCGATTTAGATTAGGCAAACGACTATTTTAATAAAAATCGTCTTAATGATCCTGTAGGCTAAGTTTTTATAATTGCTTATACGGACGAAAGAGCTTACGGTCCATCGGGCGTTATGTAGTTACTGCCGTACATGAGCGATTGTAGCCGTTCACCATCAGGTGGGCCATGTGCTTCGTCTACATACAAATATATAAAACAAAGATGTTAAGTGATTGCATAAACTCCCCCCTACCTGCCTATCCTGACCTATGTTTCTCGAGCGGGGATCAAACGTCGGCAGAGAGTGATCGATGGAGTTTAGTCAGTTACAGAATCACGTAGTCACAACAATGTGCTACCCACCAATCTTGATATGTGATGTAGAATCACTATAGGTACGTATAAGCTGTTCGAAATGGATTCAACTTTTGAAACTGGAAAGTAAGATTCCCTCGCATTTGAAATAAACAGAATGGTGGTACCATCTTTTTTTCCTAACTGTTCGCTGGTAGCCTAAGAGGCTATTCCAACTATGCCCAGAGGGGTAGGTGAGCTCACGGGCTCAACGTGAACGTGAACGCTTGGTATTTTTCCCTACCTATGCTGATAGCCTTGAAAGGCTATTGCAGCTTCGCCCTAACGTGTAGGTGAGCTCACGGGGCTTAAACCAGAGTGTTGCTAACACTGGCTCTAGCAAGAGCAGTGCTTCGTAGAATCTACCATCGGATCGGAATCGCGACCCGCTGAGAAAATCCGGCAAGAAACTCAGTGGGCTTGGTACCAACCCGTGTTGGTTCACAATAGCAACAAAAAAACAATGTCACTGAACTTTTCGTGTTTTCATTTAAAAGGATCACTCCATCTACGTAACAAACATACACACACACATCACCAATAAAATACGATACCATATTTGAGAGTTAAATTTACAGCCAACACACGCCAGACTACAAACTTACGTATACAGTGAAATCTACGTACGAAACTCTGCCAATACGTGCAAAAAGTATTATTTCGAACGCAAAATAAATTGTTTTTGTTCCATACAAGTTCACACACTTCTAAATACGATGTTAATCGTCTGTGCAATCAAGATAATATTTCCTCTTTGGATACAAAAAAAACTCTCAAGGTCCGTTGCAAGGTGAAGGTGTTATGTCATGCACCCTTAGGCTGTTTCTACACGTGGACAGTTTTTGTTTATGTTTCTTTTTTTATGGCATACGTAAAAAAGTTTTTATATTCCATTATATAGCCTTGTTATTAATAAAGTTGTCATTTATGGATAAAACTGAAAATCACTCGGCTTCCACTTATTGCTGCAGATCGAGAGAGTGTCACCCATCTTAACCCTTCATGGGGTATTACGATCTGAGTACGCAATAACTTCATGAGTTCGGATAGTAATTATATAGTATAATAAAAT